CAAAACTAATAATTACAGACCAATAACAGTCCCCCCAGTATATGCAAAGATTATTGAAAAAATAATGTATAAAAGGATTGAGTCACATTTAACTACGAATCAGTTCTTTTTCCCATATCAATACGGTTTTAGGATAGGAACACAAAACGCGTTCATTGACGTCGTTGACATGATTTGTGAGAAACTGACAAATTTTAATATTGTGACTGGACTTTTTATAGATTTACAAAAGGCTTTTGATACTATTGACCACGACCTACTACTATCTAAACTTTCTTTTGTTGGATTTACTTCACTTACTTCACTTGACATAATGAATAGCTATTTAAAAAATAGAATGCAATTTGTAAAGTTCAAAAATGATTTTAGCTCCACAAAAAGGATTAATATCGGGGTTCCTCAAGGTTCTACTTTGGGGCCTTTATTGTTTCTCATATTTATCAATGATATACATAAGTTACCTCTCGTGGGTAAATTATTTTTATTTGCGGACGATTGTAGTTTGTTCTACCCTGGTAACAACTTAAACTTTATTAAATCAAATGTTGAACATGATTTAGTTATTCTGAATGAATTTTTTAGAATAAATAAATTGTCGATGAATGCACTTAAATCCAAAGTAATTCATTTTAGATCGGGTCGAAGAAATATTGGAAATGTAGATATTCTACTCGTATTAGAGAACAAAATATTAGAAGAAGTAGAGGTAATTAAATTTTTTGGTATTATGATAGACAAAAATTTGAGCTGGTCCTCTCATATAGATAAATTAAACGAAAATTAAGTGTTTTTAATGGCATAATGTATAAATATAAAAATAAGATACCTAGAGAAATTAAAATAAATATGTACAGTGCTTTAATTCACTCTATATTGTCATATGGTACATCTATTTGGTCGACAAATAATAGAATTCAAAAGTTACAAATAAGTCAAAATGAAATTCTAAAAAACATTTTGGGTTTGCCGCTGTTATATGGTACTTTTGACCTTTATTTCGAAAACAAGATCCTGCCTATAAGGGGTATCTATCAGTACCAAGTAATTTTGGCAATCTATAAAATACTTAATAATATTGGTTATTCTAATATCTTTTCGATTGGAGGATATTCACATAGGTTTAATACTAGGCACAGGAATAACATTCGTGTTTGTAGGAGCGGTTCCATAATGTCGTCCCAAAGACTATCTGTCGCCGGTTCTAGATTATACAATCATCTGCCGAGCAATCTAAAAAATATACCGGATATTGGTCGTTTTAAAATTGAATTAAAAGAACTCTTACTATCCTCAGCTCGTTTGAACGAAATCTTGAATTAATTATTATACCACTTGTTCAAAATAAATTATTTATTACGTAATAATAACTGATGAAATACTTCTTAAATGAATAATCTAAATTTGTAAATTTCAGTGCTGTAGTCGTAAAATTAGCATAGGGTATACGCTTGAGAATATAAATTTTTGGTAAAAATAAACAAGGTTATTTTTAATTATATTTTTATTAAAAAACAAACACCCACTTTTCATCAACAATTAAAAACAATTTAAATAAGCTTTTAAGCCAGTATCAATAAACTTACTTAAAGAAGTTTTCAAAATTATATTTTTTTGAAAATCAATGTTACTTTGTCAACAGCTTTTGCTAACTTCAAATAAACTAAAGAATATGCAAAATTAACGTCCACAATAACGTAGTTTAGCATGGTTACCATAGCAACTTTAGTTAAAGAAGAGTATTTGATAAAATTCAAATATATTTTCAATTGTATAGAATTGGAAGAGAATCGTTTTAAATCGAAAACCAAATTGTTTATGTATTAGTTTACATCACTGCTGGATAAATACAGCATTGGTAATAAGAGAACATCTATCTTGAAGAAGTCGTTTTTACTTTTTTTTGTAAATGATTTTAACATCAGAAAATATAACTTTATTTTTATTTAAACTTTAATTTTTTAACATATTTTCTATTAAGCAAACATAATAATTTTTAAATATTAGGAAAGTTTAAAGTTTTCATTTCATTGTGGTTTTAAACAAAATTACCATTTTCAAAAATTAAAGGTTCGGTTATATTCGTTTTCCGTTTTTCGTTAAAGGAGGCTTTTTTGATTATTAATTTGAATATAGTTGATATATTTTTCCCAAGAAATTTTTACTAAATGAATGAAATATTTTGTGTGAATTGTTAATTTGAAAATTTTTTGCAATTTTTAGTACAATTTTTATCATCATTTTTTTTTTTACTATTACAAAGAAAGAAAATAATAAATTTTTAATAAAAAATTTGAACAAAATCATAGGGTATACGCTATTTTTAAGTAAAACCACTAGGTATACGCTATCTAAATTTTAAAAGCATAGGGTATACGGCGTATACCCCCGTATACCCTCCACTACAGCACTGGTAAATTTGAAAATTAATATTCTGAATTAAAGTTTTATTAACTTTCCATTACGATTAATAACATTTATTTATATTAAGAACAAAAAGAATTTTTATAATTTTTGCTAGATTTAAGTTTCTGTAATGCCTACTTTAGGCGATGAAACGCTTGTATATAATTGTAAATAACAAATAAGTAATAAATGAATGGAAAAAAAAAATTATACCCTTCACCTTTCATAGTTTATAGCAATTACTCGAACCTGTGAAGTTATTCTATACAACTGCTTAGTTTCATGAATCTAACTTTATTATTATTTCGAATATTTAAAATTAGGTTTTGTAGTTGTATGGTAGCTACACGAATCCGTTCTCTAGTTTGGCCCAATTACAATAGTAGCCGTCCTTGGCAGAAAAGAAAAAACTGGAAATGTTTGGTGTCGGTTGCATTATTCGCTTTTAAGCTATTGTGTGATCGGATAGACGGGTATGGCTTGATCAACGCAGAATCTTACGCTGAGCAAGAATATGTATACATGCTCATATTGGAGGCGATTCTCTCAAGTGGTTATGAACTCCATACCAAAGTCAATATACCCTTCACGAAGGTACAGGGTATAAAAAGTCGTGCACAAATTTTAAATCTTCGTTGCTATGTAATAAAGTTTAATAATTAAATTAATAAATAAATAAACAATAATAATATTAAACTATTTAATAAATAAATGAACAATAATAAAGTTTAAATTTTTATTTTCTTAATATTGAAAAATAGATTTTTCAGAAGAAATATAACGTTTAGGATCACATACTAAATAAATAGTTCTACGCACTTCTTGAATCACCTATATACTTCAGGCAATTTAAGACAAAGTTTAAAACTTTTTTCTTTAACTTCAATGGACCATAATGGCCTTCCCAATCTAATATGTTAAGGGGGACTATTTTGTTTATTTATCACTCTTAAAGAACTTGCTTATTCCCTCTTTACTATCTTTCTGGGCATGATATCTCATAGGACTGATCAGAGACGCTTCCCAAATAAAATTCGCAGAAGTTTTTACTACTTTACTTTTCATGATTATATTCTATATTTTTCAATAGAAGAACCCTAAACACTTGTCTTATTAATGAATTCTTACAAATGTTGAAAACTTTTTTAAAAGGTCGAATTGGTAGGATTTCTAAACTCTTCCAAAAGTGCGTTCATCAATGCTTTCATTTAACTAATATACACCTACATAATTTAATGAAACTAAATAAAATTTCCAAGTAAGTTCTATAAATTTTTTTCGCCAATGTTTGCATATAAAATTTTGGATTTTTACATGTTGATCGCATTACATGTAATAAGGGTGGTAGAATTGTTGCAAAAAATATTGCATGTGCTACAAAATTGGTACGTTTGCAGGTGTTTTGATTTTATAAATTTTATAGGTATATCTGGTCCTAGTATCTGGAGCTTTACTAGTAGAGCAGTTCACTGTTGTTGATCAATTCGAGGAAAATAATAACCATATTTTCTTGAAATTTTTAATTTAACCGTTATTAACAAGTAACAGTTGTAAACCTTAAACAACTTTTCCTAGGGGAATCGTATTTATAAAAGTGAACCTATACTGAGAACCAAATTTATACTTTTTATGGTATATACAGGTTTATCCAGTAAATTGTACAATATCATATATCATTATTGGTGGATCAAAAAAAATGTTTTTAATACAGGTTTTAAAAATCAGAGACAAAGATAGGCGGACCCAAACGGTCATCCGACCTATCATAATAATGGGAGAGACTTTAGTCCACCTAAAACGCAACTAGATGTACTTAGCTCGGAAAACTAGTCAAAATGACTAACCATAAGTTTTGTTCTATAGGTCTTGTTCACTTCAGTCGTTTTGCCCTCTCTTCTATAAGTTGAGATGCCTCGACATTAACATGCTGATCCAAACGCGCTATGCCACAGTTCCTGATTTCCTCACTTGGGGGATACCTAGATCCTTTCTCTTTATTGCGTTTTCTCTATATTCCATATTCTTTCCACATGAACTCCACATGATACGACATCCAAAGTCATATCAAGATATTGACTGTGTTTTAGATTGAGACTGTGGCATTCAAATTCATTTTTGGTGGGGTTACTAAATTTCTGTTTGTGAAATTTATATGTACAGATTTATTTACTAAGTATTTATCCATTTACTTATATTGCTACTTGCTTCCTATAATTTTTTGTCGATTCTTCAGGGTTCCACTGCTAATACTGCCGTGTCGTCGGTAAATGTTTCCACCGTTGTGTTAAACTTTACCGAAAACTAACATATTCTAGAGGAAAAATTTTTAATTCACATACACACATGTACATATGTGTATGTGATAGGATGTTGGTTTTTTTTAAGAAATAATCGTAAAAATAATAAGGAACTGTTATTTTCTAAAAGGATGTTTCTATAATGTTTGAGAACTAACGTAGAAAAAAAGAATAAATTATTTGATTAAGTTGATTAAACAACACCAATTAATAAAATTATGTGAACACAAATCATTTTTAATGTAAAAAAAATTCAAATTCAATTTCAATTTTTACTTAATTTAGAATTTTTATTTGTAGGTTCTAAGTATCAAGGACCACTTGATGGTTCTCTATATGCAACAATTTTAAAATCACCGAAATCAAATTCATCACAACACATACCAATATCACAAGTTACAAACCATACTTCAACTAACTCAGCATATTTAATTCAACCACCTCCTCAATTTAGTAGTCTTCAATCATTTGAGGTTATTGAAAATAGACCAATTAGCACAAGTACACCAAAACGAGAACGTGGTAAAACAGTTGAACCACCAGCCCGAACTTCTTCACTTCGCATTAGAGATACACAAAGTCAACCAAAATTGTCCTCAGAATATAATTATATTGAAAGTAGACCTGGAACATCACAATCAAATTATAGAGCAGGTCAACAAAAACATCAAACGCAGCAAATTACTTCCGTTGAATCATATCACGTGCCTAATATTAAAAGTCAGTCAAAACATAATATATCTGAAATAAATTGTAGTCAGCAAAATGGAACTGGAATACGTGAATATGTTCGGAGTCCGCTTACATTATCAATGGATTCTGGAATTTCCAGTAATGGCATATTAAATAGTAAGTTCAAGCTTCAATTTTATGCTGGTGTTGGAGATGATCTTTATTATTTAAAACTACTAACAAAATTGACTTGTTTCGGTACATAAATATTTGTTTATTATTCTAAGAGGTAGGAAACTTTATTTTTGAATATTTTTGTTTTCGCTTTTTGTTTTTAAATTTAGGACCGAACCAAAGATCAAGTATGTCTCCTATAAGCTTTCCAAGTCAACCAAGTCCACAAGGTAAGTTTTATGAGTTCTTTTTTTTAATTTACTATTTGTATAAAAAAAACGCTGTTTTAATTTTAAAATGTTTTGTTATGTTCGGCTTATAAAATATTTATTTGTTTTTGTGCATTTGCACTACATCATGTATCATTTAGGGTTTTGCTGAAAATTATTATACTTTGATTTGCAAATAACGATTTCTCTCAACGCAGTTTCTTCTAGTGTGTTTTCCGTTTTCTTGATATTCGGACTTAATGAATAATTCGAACGTAAGAATGTTTTTGAAATTACTTTCATTCATACACGAATATATTTAAAAAATTACACACATTTAGATTGAACGATTTATGCAGTCTTTAACATAGAGCAAAAATAAATCTTAAAAGGTATTACCATAATGCACGATTTTAAGGGTTAATTACGTGAGTTAAGAAAAAGAATTATATTTATTAATGGCATGGAATTTACCATTAGCTTTCTGCGTTTATAGAAATTTAAAAATGCTTTTGGTTTCAGAAATATAAGGAGCCAAAAATTTATATTTTACAAATTTTGAGAAACAATAACTTGATAGCGGATGGAGGTGGAACAAAAATTGTGCCTAAAAGCTGTTAAAATTTCAGACTCTTATAACGGACGGTGTAGAAGAAAAACGGTATCAAAAATTTGGAAAAAACGGACTTTAGATAACGGTAAATTTCAGCCGTCATTTTGTTGTTTTTAAAGTTCAAGTATGGTATGCCGTTGTAGAAGAAGCCAGTCACTATGTCTTCCTTTGCAAAATTTGAAAAATGCTTTTGGTGTCGCTGCAATAATTTAACTATTTATGACATTTTTAGGGTTTCAGAGGGAAGGAGATAACTAAAAATTTTCTTCTACGGAAATAAGTTTCTAGTAAAGACTTATGTAGATATGAAATTTCAGTTTTCTGTCTTGAAGGGTTTAGAAATTTTGTAAACATGTCCACGGACGGATAGACAGATGGTCGGAAGGATGGATGGACAGACGGGCGGACGGACAGAATGAAACTAATAAGATTTTTTTTTGTTTTTTGAAATTTTTTTTGAAAAGTGCTTAAAAAGAAAAGTAACAAGCAATGCATTATGTTATGTACATGCAATGCGTAAAATATTTTTGTTTTTTTTTTTAATACATCACTCTTTTAAGTTTTAATTACAAGCCTTCGTACCAAACTTCATCAAATGTCCGGGCCACGTCCAGAAATATGGTTGAACATAATTGTTTTCCTTCTAACGTGTTCTCTATGATTAATCTGTACACTTGGTCAATTGTTGCACGCTCCATTCTAAAGCCAAACTGACGCTTAATATCTTACTTTCCAATGTAGGCAACATTCTTTGTTTTTACAAGATTTTTTTCAAGAATTTTTGATATTATTGGCCTAAATGACTTTGTCGATTTTTCGGTGGGAACGCACTTCTCCATAGTAGGAAAGCGTAAATAAACTACTTTTAAAGAGATATCGGTGCACGCGTGTATCTCAAGTTCGGCTGAACCGATTTCAAAGAAATTTTGTATGTGAGTTTGTTTTGACTATGGCGCGGATTGATCCTGGGAACTGGACGTTTTTGCGAGCCGATCGTACATTTTGGTGTAGATAAAGAGAAGTAACCAACCAATTCCATTGAAATTTAATATTTAAATTTGATATTTTAGTTCTGGCTGTTACTAAAACTAGCTGGTGAACTTTTCAGGGGATTTCGGGTGGCACAAAGCGAAATTCTTCGAAAGGGCCAAATTTATACTTTTCTAGGTTTGTTAGTTAAAAGCTTGTTAACTTCGTTAAAATTGAAAGGAAGTGTTCAAAATGTATTTTCATAATCTTCCATAATACTTTCACTAAACTACGTAATATGCATTGCGGTCAATTATACGTTATGCTGGCCACATCAGATTTTTTTATGAGAATTTCGCTTTATCGACTTCTTAGTTCTCTTTGTTGCTTGCCAAGTAATTTGTATCTTTAATATTTAATAATTCTTATATAACTCCTATATAGCTTATATAACTTTTGTACAATATTGATTTAAAATTTTCTATTTTTCTTTTGAGTGTTTGAGACAATTTTTTGACAATAGTTCCAATCTCTGGGTGATGTGGCTGTTGCTACTTACATCTCGCTCTTCTTTTTTGTGTTATTAAAGCAATTTAAACTTTTAGACAATTACCTGATACAGGTTTGAATTTAAACAATCTAATTTTGTTGCCACCTGAAGGCCAATAAGTCGGATTGTCTGCTGAGTGAAAATAACGTCCTAAATAGTTTCCTAAATAGTTTTCGTTAGCTCTCAACCCCTGGTTGCATTCATCCTAGAACCTCAATCCAAATGTTAAATTTTTGGCATTATTAGCACATGTTAGTAAGAATCTATTTCTACCTGCACATAGAAGAACATTTAAAATATTTTTCATTATATTGGTTCTCGGTGAACCATAAACTGAACCAACATTGAAACGCGTTTTAGTATTTTTTAATTTTAAGTTTAATAAGTTGAACCTTCCTTGCCTTTATTTTGGATTATTGGTTATGTTTTATGATCCCTTCAACTAAAAAAGTACCACCTCTTCTTGAACTCATTCTAGTAAAGCTCAATTCTTTAGCTCCTTATTGCAGTTTGCCTACTTGGCTTGAAAGTTATGTTTCTTATTGCACTTTACTGTCATGTTATTACCAGGAGATTTAAAATCTTTTTGTATGTCTGAAATTTTGTCATCACTTGCATTGAAGAATGTACTCATAACATCTCAGTTTCAATATCCACATATTTTGTATATTTTATTTATGTCTTCGGTGTAATTGAAGGAAAACTTGAATAGTGATAACTATTTTAAAGTATTCAATTGAATCCTCTCTGGATAAGTTCGCACTTAATATGCTCATTATGCTTAATTAAAATTACTGTTTTTAATCAATTTGTTTTCATGTGCATGCTATTCATTTCTGCTTTTATTTTCTTATTCAAATCTTTTTTATAATCTTTTCGCTTTTATTTTTAAGCACTTTTTCAAAAATTTTGAACATGTTTACAAAACTTCTACACTCTTAAAGACAGAAATCTGAAATTTTATACATACATAGATCTTTTCTAGAAAGTTACTTCCGAAAGTTACTTCCGAGAAGAAAATTTTTACCTATCTCCCCCCTTTAAAAGTTACACCCCCCTTTAACCCTAAAAATGGTATTTGTTAACTATTTATTGCAATGAAACTATAAGCATTTTCCAAATTTTGCAAAAAATGTAGTAGTTGGCATATTCTACTCGTACCACGGTATATCAGACTTGAACTTTAAAAAAATAAAATGACCCAATTTTTGATATAATTTTTTTCTAGACCGCAGGTTGTACAAATTTGTAACTTTAACAGTTTTTTAACACTAATAAATAATTCATTTCGTTAGAAGAAAATTTTTTCCCATCTCCACCCCCTCTAAAGTTATCGCCTCTCAAACTTGTAAAATTTGAATTTTTAGCACCTTATTTTTTCGAAACCGCAAGCTTTCGGAAAACACAGAGCGCTAACGGTAAATTCTATGCTTTTAAAAAATATAATTATTTTTCTTAACTTACGCATTTAACTCTTAAAATCGAGCATTATGTTAACACTTCTTTAAATTTATTTTTCCTTTATTTCAAAGACTGCATAAATCATTCAACTTAAATGTATGCAATTTTTGAAATATATTCATAGGAAAGTAATTGAATGAAAGTAAGTTTAGTAATTTAATAAAGGGAAAAGTGCTACATTACAAACTATTGGTTTGACCCAACTTTATTAAAATTTAGATGCGAATAGATCTTGTACCCCATCATTTCTTGCAAAACGGTTTCATTAGTTTTTATGATTAAACATTTCATATTATATTTCTATTAATCCAAGCTAGGTTTTACTACTGCTATCCCTCTAAGATCAGGCGGATATTATGAAGTCATTCATTCTGAATAAAACAGAACGTGTCTTTTCTTCTCAAAAATTTAATTTAGTAAAAATACAACAGTTGAAACGGATAAAAAGTTCAATTATAATGAAATGAGTGAATTCATTTCCAGTTTAATATTACCATATTGTATATATGTGTTGCTAAAATAGAAATACAAAATAAAAAAAAAATTACTTAGTATTTTTCCATTTTCAAAATTATAGATTTCTCTTCCTAAGAAAATAGTACTCGTATATAAGATGACTTGCATTATTATGAAAATCTGTTACAATTTAGTAAAAAATTGAAATTCAAGTTGATTAGAATTGTGCACAATTGTTTTGAGTTTATTTTTTTATTTTTATTTAACCGATATTAAAGTGAAGAAGTATTTTTTCATAAAAACTAAAAGCTTCAATACTTTTATTTGAGTTCAATAAAGCGGATTTTGCTGTACATGGTAGTTAACCGCATTTTTTATACTTGGATGTTTTATTAGTAATTTTCATATATAATATAATACTCGTATAATATATAATATAAATATCTCAATTAAAGTATAACGCAGTTACCTTTAAAATTTGACATTAAACTCTTCAGATAATTGTTTCTTTTAGAAATTATTAGTAATTTAGTAAGTGACAAAAAAAAAATTTGAAAAAAAAAATGATTTATTAATCATTTATTGCCTTTGATCAAATCTAATAATCTAAAATAATAATCATTTATTCCCATTATATTATTGTCACTTACATAAGTCAGTTGTATGTACACACTATTAAATTAAAAATGGTGCATGAAAGTTTAGAATAATTGAAAATAGATACATACATACATAATTTGATATTTTCATTATCATAATACAAGTGAAAATTTAAAAAAATATGTATACGTATGTACGTACATATGACAAACTTTGAGTTTATATTTGCAATACATATTTTATATCTTGTTAACATGCAACGGTAATCTGGTTAACATACAACGGTTTTATATCTTGTAAAACATACGATGGTTGTAGAAAATGAATATGAAATGCATACAAAACATATTTGAACTCACTCACACCTGAATCTCAAACAAAAGTTTTATATAGTATCAAAAATTCAACAAAAGTTGTAAGATTAAAAAATTGTGCTGGGGGTTAAATCATCATAGTTGACATCTTATTATTAATGTGTTTTGTGTAAAAATTTGCTATCTAAAAGCGACATCACATTGTCGTAAATAATCAGTGCTACTAATAAGAAAAATTTCGGTTACTAATAAGTAAACTTAAATTTATTATTAATAATTTGAACCATGTGAAACGTTGAAGCTTTTTAAACTTGTAAGCGTCGCTCTATATGAAAATTTATTTTAGATTGACTTATATCGAGTTTTCACTACGGAGCTTAACTGGGCCAAAATAGTCGAAAATTTGTGTAAGGCAAGGCTATTTTTTTAGGATAGAAACATATTTTATGAAATGTTAATATATTTTATGAAAAATTAAACTGCATACATAATATAAAGGTCACAAATGCAGCCACATTTATTTACTTCTTAATTTAATTTTTAAATTTTGATTTATTAGTTAATCTTATTGTAAAAAGTATTTAAATCGGTCTTGAATTGAAATTACTTTGAATCGAAAATAAAAATTATTTATATGTATATGAATTTCAGAAGATCGTCATCGTGAACTGGATGAAATTTTATCTGATATGCTAAGTACTGTGCAAGATATTCCCGATTTTAATAAAAATAAAAATCATAGACAACGTAGTACGACATCAAATTCTTTAAAAACAACGCAAATTCAGCGACAATTGCGAAATCAAAGTTCTGTTCCTCTACATCATTCTACATCACAAGTAATAGTTATACCCAACAAAATTTCAAGTAATAATTATGAGCAACAAAACCAGCAACATTTAAAACGTTCATTATCTTACAATACTTACGTAAATGAACCTTTAACGTCACATCAAAATCTAAATCAATCAGCTTATTTAACAAAAGAGCGATTGGAATTATATGCTGATACTTCAAGTACAACTACAACTTTAACACCACCACCGAGCGAAAGTGGCGATCGTGATACACCAATTATTTCTAGCAATATAATTCCAGCAACATCTACACCTGGAAATTTATTAGCAACAAATACTCTACAACATCACCAACACCAATCAACCAACAATTATCAACAACAACAAATTTATCGTGAACGGTGTGAAACATACAATAGTATGGCATCAACATCTTCCCAACAGTCGTCATTCTACAGGCAGCAAGATCGGACGTATCAACAAAAACAAAATAATTTTATTTCAGAAGACGAAGATAATATACCGTATCACGCTCGTGAACATTCAAAACCTTTTTCATATGGTAGTGTACCAAATGAACATAAATTAACGGAAGTGTCGCTGAATAATAATAATAATAATAATAATAATAATAATAATAATAATAATAATAATATTATAAATAATAACGACAAAAATCCGGAATTAGATGTTGAGTTAATTGATCCAAAAATGATAAAAGAACAGTCTGGGCTTTCGAGCCCTTCGTTAGTACGAAAATTTGCTAGTGGGGTTAATAACTTATCAAATAATGATTACGGTACGACAGACAGTAATAATACCAATTTTTCCTCATCGAATTCAATGTTAAGAAAAACTCCAATAAGAAACGATTTTGAGGAAATGCTACGAGAACGTCGTGAAAAAGTTTTGAGTGAAAAATATTCGACAATTGGTGTTAGTAGTACTGAAAGGAATAAATTGCCATCAAAAATTAACGATAATAAGTGGTTGCATACTCAAGTTAACCAAACGAATGGTTATCATTATTACAATGAACCATTAAAAAGATCGAATACTTTAGATGCTTTTCATAGGAGTAATAGCACGGATGGGTAAGTTCAATGATTTAATTAAAGTTTTTTTTAGAGTTAAAAAGTTTCATAAGCTTATATTTTTTTAGGATTTAGATTGAATTTTTTATACATACGTTTGTGTCGTTGTTAATATAGATAAATAATATTTTTTAATGGTTAAGTGTGAATGATAACCATTTTTTTTTATTTTTCCACCAGAGTGGAGAAAAAATGTATTTAATGTAATTTTATATAAGTTTATCGGTAAACGTAAAAATTAAGAACTTTACATTCGATCGATTATTATATTAAAAAAAATAAAGACTACCTATTAAGAACATGTGAGAATTGAGTTCTTAACGCCTTAGAAAGGTTTTTATTTTGTTTTTGTTTAAAATACATATAAAAGTAAAAGATAGTTTGACGTGTATGGGCGTTCAAATTAAAGTTTTTAAAAACAATTTAGGAATTAAATATGATATTTTGCTTAGATTTCATAAATAATAATTTTAGATCAAAATGACATGTACATTTTGGTGTATATTGCGCATAGCTTGTATATGTTAAATTTTTGTTGCTCTTATACATATGACCAACCGTTTATGGTAATATCAAGGAAGTACTATACTTATGTTAAGTTATGTCTTATGCAGAGGTGTAATAAAACAAATTTAGTTGCCTATGTATTAATTTAATATAAAGTACTTTAATAAATAAAATTTGTTAGTATTTCTAGTTTTGTTTTACAGTAAGAGTGTACCACGTTTTATGTTATAAAAGAAGACATTCGTAATTTTCTTTAATGTATTTATATCAAACCGAAGCAAATAAGGAAACGGGAAACGCCAACGAAACCTGTGGGAAGGTGAACTTTTATATTAAGGTTTTAAATTGCAAAATAATAAAAGTGCAAAACTAATTCAATAAATTTCAGAATCTTTTGATTATGGTGGCTTTTGAAAAATATCGAAATATATGTACATACACAAGTTTATATTAAAATTAGTCGATTTTTATTTTTTTTAAATTTGTTAAAAGAAAAAAGAAAACAAAAATAATCAAAAAAATATTAAGAAACAAGTTACAATACGAGAACAAGAAAGTACATAAATGGTAACATATGGGTTTTTCATTTTGATTCACACGTTTATGTGAATTTAAACTGCTAACACTTCTCACACTTCTTGTAATTTTTTAGTTAATATTAAAAGGAGCAATAAAAATTTGTGCTTGATTTAATAATAACATGAAATATAATTAACTAAATTGCTTATAGATCAAGCATTAGATTCCTTTTTAAGGAAAAATTATAATTTAAATTAAAATTAAAAAAAACATCAATATTATATAGGGGTATAATATGCTTCTGTGAGATTTCCAAACAATATCGTCACCATTTAAAAAAACAATAAAAAGAAACGATGTTATAGAGTTAGTAAATATTAGAATGCATTATGAGAAATAGCTATAGATATCATTTAGAACGTGTGCTTATAACTTGTACAAAAAACAAGATAAAACTATATGAACGATACAGCTAAAAATAATTTGAATTACCAGAAGGTCTGCAAGAAAGAACATGCTGACCCAATATATTGTATTTTCTGTTTGAAAAGGAGAAACGAAAAAAAAGAGATATAAACACAAAGAAAAAATGGCAAACTAGGAGAAGAATAGCATGTCGATGACCTACAAATTACAAATTTATACATTCTATCTAAAAGTTGTCGAAATTTATAAAGTCTAGATACCATTTTTATAGGTATAGATATATATCCTTTCTTATTATAATCAAGACTAAAATTCTTCATTATAATGATTATAATCAGATGTATATGACTTTATTAAAATATTGCAATATATATACACCAAGTTCAACTCGAATTGTCGTTTGTGAAGGAAAAAAAATGTAGAGAAACAAAAAGTGAATTAGACAAACTATCTCATAATATAATTGACCTGTTTTTTAAAAAAAGGTAACAAAGTTTAAAAAAACAACAAAACAAATTAACGAAAATCAATTTTGTGACAAATATAAATAAAAGAAAATCTGATTAAGTTCATATATATCACTTCAATTCGTATTTTAAACTAGAAAGAGTTTTAACATTATTGAAGTACGTTCTTTAGTCTTGTCTTATAACTAAATTCGGTATAGATTTTTATTCAAAAAACAGTAAACTCGGTAAAAAATGTCGTTAGAGAAACAATGTCGCAAGCCGAATAAAACTGACTCAAATTTATCAATATCGTATCTCGAGGACTTAATCTATATAGCTACGGGTACTAAGAGCTAGAGACATGGGATAAAAGGCATTAGATAGGGTTTTGCCTCTAGGGTCCCGGAAAAATCTGATATTGGAACTTTTTCGCCTCGAAATAGCTCTATTTTAAGATTTTCGGAAAAAATTTTTGTATAACAAAAGCACGTTGTTCTTTTATACTTTATATTATTAGAAACACAAACCGAGAAAAAAATAATACCTTATATAACTAGAAACACAGACCGACAACGAGAAATAAATAATATTCGAAAATACAATGATCTGACATATTTTTAGTTCGAAAAATCGAAATAAGCTTAAATAAATGTCAGCATTTATCAGACATCAGAGGTTTTATAGCATCTGAATATTAACGCTTCATTTGTTATTCTTTTGAGTATTATGCTTCGTCAGCAAGCTTTAAAAAAATATACATACACAATTTATGTACGTATGTACTTAAAATTTCCTTTTTATTATTCGAGCGAAAAACTCAAAAATGCTAAATTCTAATACATTTATACATATGTACATACGAGTACATATATTTGAATTATTATTTTGTTTTTGCCTAAATCTTTTCTCACCTCCCAAGATGCTTTGTGGCCGCTTTTTACAAAATGACATGGAACAAAAGGCACTAGATAGGGTTTTGCCTCTAGGGTCCCAGAAGAAGCAAGAACTCTATCCACCCTCCCCCTTCACCACCTCCCAAGATGCTTTGTGACAGTTTTTTACAAAATGATGTAGTCTGTTGGGGTAATTTTTATTTACTTTTGGTAATTAAAATATTGTATATAAATTGCGTTTTGGAAATATGAGTTATAACAAGTAGTGAACACTTCCTCAAGAAAATTGTTAAAGTTAATATAATCTACATTGTTTTATAATAAGTATCCGCAAATTCTTTAACGTCAAAATTTTGTTTTTAGTTTGCAAATTGTCTGACGTATAAAACTTTTACGGATAGAAATGTAGTATAAACTTTTTACCCGTAATTGACTTTGAATTTTGATCATCCGTAAACGTCAAAACAAAAAAAAATTTTTTTTTAGATTTAAAATAATTTTATACGTACTTACACATTAAAAATTAACAAAAAAAAATATTTTTTATATTATTTTTAACGTAATGATAGTCATACATCTAATTTATTTACTGAATTACTACGTCAGATTGTCTGCATGTAAAAAAAAAATCTACAATTTTGACGCTTAATTGACTTTTTTTAAACGTTTAAGAATTTAAACTTTGACTGAAAGTAAAAACTCAGTAGAGTATTCGTAAACTCAGACAACTCAGATTTTGTAAAATTTGACGTTTAAGAATTTACCATATGTATAAGTTTTGCGATCTGCTGCAAAATGTTTTAGTAAGCAAAACATAAGGTACATTAAATTTCGTCACAATATATTTTTAGGACAAAATTTAATAAGAAAATGTTATTTTATTTCATTAAAGTTTTACAAACAGGGTATTTTCAAAAAAATATTTAGGATAGAAAATCGCTTATATTGATTTGTAAGGGTAAAGCTGTTTTAATTAAATTTTAAATAAGAACAAAAAAAAATTAAAATTATCAATAAAAAAAAAGTTAATCTGACAAATCGCATTTTTCAAACGAACCAGAGACTTTTTGCATAGGAATCGTATGCTATACGCATCACCCTATAAAGTATTAGTATTAATTATACATTCACGCGTTTTATTCGCATGTATTATAGAAACCAAATACATACGTGCATAGTAATGAATTATTTTATGCATTACAGTAAATTATCGCTTAAAGTGCTTATTGTCAAAGGTAATTTACGATTTTATGCGATATAACTCAAAGGTTCTAAAATAAATTACTCAAAAGATATTAGATCCCAGAGGAACTACTTATTTGTTTAATAATACTTATACTTTTTTGTAATTATTTTTTAAGAACTTACTTATTTTAAGTTTTATTTTATTATTTATTAAGAAAAATCATATATATATAATAAGCACACACTACTAGTATATATATTAAATTTCAGTCTTCTCATGTATACCTGTGAGTTCACATATTTATTATGAAATCCAATCTTATTATAACAATGCATGTAAATGCCTAATTGTATAATTAAATCGTTATACATAGTTAGATCATTATAGTAAGATCTAGTGAGCTATAAAGTAAGAAGTGAAAAACTTTGCAGGGACAGTCAATTAAAACAAAATTCTTGCATTGAATTGCAAATAAATATGTACATGTATTTGTGTGCGTATAATCATACATGTATAGCAATTAAAATTATAACCATTCCTTGATAAAAATCAAGAGCCCTTACAATTAAATACAATTGCTGAAAACTAACTTACGACATGAAAATTTTAGCCGTTTTCATTGCAGAAGCTTTTGTTGTTATAGAGTAACCCTAATTATTTTGTTTTGAGAAATACAAATAAAATTTAATAGCTTAGCAAATTCGCCTGTAGAATTTTTAAAATTCTTATTGAATCATTGAACAGAAAGTTTAATTAAATTAAAACATACGCATATAAGTAAATTTTTACATGGCTAAATATTTCATACATACATATGTATATACGTATACTATATAAGAATTTGGTATACATATGTATGTATGTATTTTCGAACACGTCAAACTCAATTAATTTCGCCCACTATTAAACTATTTTTGATTTTCTACGAAGCTTTCATTTTAAGTAAAGTAAAAATTATATGATTTCATAAATATTACACATTGTACTCGTATGTATTTACGTATTTTCATATAAACTTAC